AGTCGACGTATTTTGGCAGACGAGTTGACGAATTGGTAAATTGTTGCTAATTTTTCTTTTATGATAATCTTATCATAGATATGAGTTGGAATATGCCATGGCAACAGGGAATTTGTATAGCCGATGGGCTCGTCCCTTTTGCAAAATACACCCAATAAAAAATGTTAGCCAAATTGTAGATAGGCAGGCATTTGTTATGATTACGCGATCATTACAATTTATGTAGTAACGGCAGTTGATAAGCCAGATTGTGTTTAGTGTAAACTGTTGGGAATTTGGTTAGCAGGTGTTTCTTGTTCTTATCAAATTAGCGGTTCAGTGTGCCAGCCCGTGATTAGTGTTCCAATGAATCATTCTCAAGATATTGGTTCGCCTACTATGCAATGTAGGCGAACCTCTTTAAAGACCAATTGGTCTTTACATAGACCTGTTGTCTCTTTGCAGACCAATTGGTCTTTATAAATCCAATTGTGAGTATTAGTCCACTTTTTAGGGTATCCTCCATATAACGTTATCCCCAATATTCGATTTTTTTGTAAGTTTGGTCACGTTTTACTATGAATTGATTATAATTTTATATTTGGGACTTTCATTGGGTAGAAAATCTCACTACCCAATTTGGTATAGCTCCACTATTTTAGGCAATTTGAGGATTACGGTACATACAAGGTCCTAGTCCAAATGTCAAATAGTTTGTTATTTAATTTTCTCGTGGCAGTAATTTATCATTGCATAACAACCATATAAAAGACCCAATCGATTTAAGGTATTTGACCGTTCACCTCATGGTGGAGAGTATAAATTATGGTAACAAATCTCCCTTTCAAAAATTTTTAATATTCGCCCCCCTTTTGGGGTAGTCCCCATATAACCCCCTTTTTTTACCCTCCACCATAGTATGGAGGGTATATTATTATACCCTCCACCATAGTATGGAGGGTATATTAATTTTGTTTTTCCGTTCGTAACTCATCGAAATGATCATTTTCGACCCTAAAAAATTTTGTCTGCAGGCAGGTCAAGTTCGAAGATGAGCTATATTGGTCGTGGTTTAGGCATAGCTCTCGTATAACGGACATAAAACGACATCTAGCGGAAACAATTGTCACAAACTCGGAATAAGATCGAGTTTAACCCTACAATGAATTTTCATATTTTTAAGACTTTTTAAGTTTGGGCAGATTTTCGAGTGTTGGTTTATTCTGAGACTTATAGTACGTTTACATTGTACCGGATTCCGTTAACCCAGTGGGTTTCAATTGTCAATTCCATTGTATACATGCCAAATAAATCCTCATAGAGTAGGTTAACCTGGTAAAAACGCTCTAATGTAAATGCCGTTTTATAGTAAAATCAGTTTTCAATAATTTCTGGAAAAGGAGACCGAACAATTATTACTTCATTGTGATATGATATGATTTAAAGATGTTAAAGTAATTGCAAAAAATCTCCAATAAAATAGCTATTGCTAATACCTCGAAATAACTTTGTCTACGAGACTAGCATATGTCCGCTACTTCGTTAGCGAATGTGGGAAATACTTAAGTATGTATTAACATATTATCTTATTTTCACAGAAAACAGAATACGTCAGAAAAACTAAACAATCCAGACATTAATATCGACCATATGTTTAATTTGAGTGCCAAATTTCACGAATCGAACTCTAAAGGTTCGCCCAGATCCAAATTTTACCAAATTTAGTTCCATTTAGCAAATATTATTTCCATAAGTACCGACCTCCATCATCCAACAAAACTTCCTGCATCCTCCGATCCTACACGACACAAAAATTTCAAATTTCAGGATTTCAACCCTACCGGTTCACCCACAATTCAAATTGTATTATACTTAGTACGCAGTAGTAAGAATTTTCAAAACTTCCTACTTAAGCCAAACCTTCACCCTACAGTGAACCTAAAATCAAGTTTCAGATTTCCAACTCTGTCGGTTCACCCACAATTCAAATTGTACTAAATTTAGTACACAGTAGTACGCCCCCACACTGATCCTAAATCCAATTTCCAGGATTCAAATTCTATCGGTTCACCAACAATTCAAATTGTACTAAATTTAGTACATAGAAGTACCAATTTCCAAAACTTTTAACAGACCTCCATCCTACAGGATGTCAGGATTCCAGCTTTATCGGTTCACCCACAATACAAATTGTACCAAATTTAGTACACAGTAGTACGAATTTCCAAAATTTCCTACTTAACCCAAACCAACACCCCACAGTGATCCTAAATCTGAGTTTCAGGATTTAAACTCTACCGATTCACCCACAATTCAAATTGTATCAAATTTGGTACACATTAGTTCAAATTTCCAAAACTTCCTACATACCCCAATCATACACCCCCACAGTGATCCTAAATCCATGTTTCAGGATTCAAACTCTATCGATTCACCCACAATACAAAATGTACCAAATTTAGTAAAAAGTAGTACGAATTTCAAAAACTTCCAACTTAACCAAAACCAACTCTATCAGTTCACTCACAATTCAAATTGTACCAATTTCCAAAACATTCTACATACCCTAATCCCACACTGATCCTAAATCCAAGTTTCAGGATTCCAACTCTATCGGTTCACCCATAATTTAAATTGTACCAAATTTAGTACACAGTAGTACGAATTTCTAAAACCTACTTCTTACCACAAACCTACACGCCCATAGTGATCCTAAATCAAAATTTGAGGATTCCAACTCTATCGGTTTACCCACAATTCGAATTGTACCAAATTTAGTACACAGTAGTACCAACTTCCAAAACTTCCTACATACCCCAATCCTACACCCCAACAATGATACTAAATTCAAGTTATAGGATTCCAACTCTATCGGTTCATCCACAATTCAAATTGTACTAAATTAAGTACATAGTAGTACCAATTTCCAAATCTTCCTACCCCACCTACACCTCCAAATTCAAAATTAAAAGTTCAGGATTCCAATTCTATCGGTTCACCCAAAAAATCAAATCGTACTAAATTTAGTACATAGTAGTACCAATTTCCAAATCCTCCTACATACCCCAATTCTACACCTCCACAGTGATTCTAAATCAAAATTTCAGGATTCCAACTCTATCGCTTCACCCACAATTTAAATTGTACCAAATTTAGTACACTTAGTACAAATTTCTAAAACTTCCTACATACCCCAACCCTACACCCCCACAGTGATCCCAAATCCAAGTTTTAGGATTCCAACTCTATCGCTTCACTCACAATTCAAATTGTACGAAATTTAGTACACATTAGTACAAATTTCTAAAACTTCCTACATATCTCAATCTTACACCTAAACAGTGATCCTGGCTCCAAATTTCAAGATTCTAGCTCTATTGGTTCACCTAAAATTCAAATTGTACCAAATTTAGTACCCATAAGTATTATTTGCGTAAACTGAATCCTGACCCCAATCCCATACCCCTACAGTGATCCTGACTCCAAATTTCATTGTTCCCGCTCTATAGGATCACCCAAATCCAAACTGTACCGATTATAGTACGATTTAGTACTTTTCGTACACATAAGTAACAAATTTCCAAAACTACGTTCATATCCCAATCCTATACTCCGACGGTAATTTTAATTTCAAATTCCAGGATTCCAGCTCAATTTGTACCTCCAAATCAAATTAGTACCATATAGTACGTTTCGTACACGTGAGTACACGCTTTCTAAACTCTCCTTCTAACGACCCTAATTCTCAACCTTAATTTGCATTCCAAATTAAAAGTTTTTAGCTCAATCCATTCACATGCTACGAATTTGTACCAAATTTAGTACATTCCTGTACTTTTCGAGTCTTATAGTTCGAATTTCCAAAAAGTCCTTTGCTACATCTATTCTACACTCCATCAGTGACCCTCAATCGAAATTTCAGATTTCTAGCTCTACTGGTTCGCCAACTAAAATGTACTAAATATGGTATCATTTGTATACCATATTTAGTACATTTTAGTGCTTTTCGTACGGTTCTAGTACTAATTTCCAAAAACCCAGCCTTATCTGTCATCTTTGGACCAAGAGTGACACTCACCCAAAATGTCAAGATTCTAGCTTCAGCCGTTTCGTCTGGACGTTGATGAATCGTTAAATCAGTCAGTCAATCACTTTACTCTTTTATTAGTATAGATAGATATAGATACTTACACTATGTAAGAAATCATTTGACCTACGAAATATTGGCTGATTCTTTCAATTATTCATTAAAAACTATAGGAGTCGTCTTTCATCAAAATGAGATCCACACACTAGTCATAACGAATGGTCTGTATTTGTATTGACAGAAGTAAGTTCAGATGGCAAAAAAAGGTCAGCTAATGACCCACAAGCTGTTATCACTATCTATATTTAAGAGTTTAAGAGGACTCAGAAGCAAGGATGTTATAATTGTTTTTTTTTTTTTTTTTTTGAAACGTCCTTGCCACCCTTGTCAGTTTTCCACGTGTAATGAATAATAAACCAAATTATATTTCGGTCTAGACATCTTAGTTTATTATTATTAAATATTTTTATGTACTCAATTTCCATAACTGCTTTCTTTTTTATTAGGATATTTCTTTCCATTTATTTCTATTCTTGGAATTTTAAAATCTCGCCATTATTAATACAAAAGAAACGAAACGTTTTATTGTTATTTTTTTGGCACTTTTTGCAGACATATGGGCGGCAATTTCTAAATTTTCCGAAAATCTTGGCCATAAACTAGACAGTCTTTTGTTAATTGCTGGCACTAACGTAGATATGAAATGGAAAGATAAGCTGCACGTTTCAGGTGTTTTATTTTCGAAATAGTTTGAGATAAGATTCACGTTTCGGGTTTTGGATTTTCGAAATTACCATCGCCACGATGTATATAAAATGAAACGAAAGGCCAATGACAGTCATTCAAGCCAGTAGAACAAAATTGGTCTAACCACCAAGACAAAGTGAAAACCAAAAGGAAAATCCTTTAAAGAAAACAAAAAAATTAAATCAAAATGAAAATTGTACAAAAAGGAGTGTCTTACCTTAGCGGTACCAAATACAATCCAAGTGAGAAAATATGGTCGGGACCCAAGTCCAAGACAGTTTACAATAGTGAAATGACAGTGGGCGAGGCAATTGTCTTGCAGCTTCGCAAAACACCCGAAAAAGTGATACAAATTTTAGAATCTACCGGTGAAACTCTAACGGCTCAGCAGTTTTTGGATCACAGTATGTCGTTGGCCAAAAATTTGCTTGAAATGGGCATTAAGGGTGGTGATATTGTGGGCGGCTATGCCAAAAACTCCTTACATTTGGGCACTGTGATGTTGGCATCGTTTTTGTGTGGCACCCCCGTTCATGGTATTTTTCAGAATTTTGAAAAAGGTAGGCAGGCAAAAATTGTGTGAATGGCAAAGAAATGTAATTAGAATATTAATTTTTGGTTTTAGATATCATTGCCAAAACTTATGCAACCACCCGTCCCAAGTTAATCTTCTGTGATGCTGAAAATTATGATAAAGCCTTTTATGTCTTGGAAAAGCTGCAATTGGATGCTAAAATTATCATCATGACTGGTCATGTACCCGGTGTTTTGAATATCAAGGATTTGGTTAAGATACGTTTCGATGTTGGAGATATTTCAGAGTTTCCCTGCACTGATATGAACAGTTCGGATACGGCGGTCATCCTAAGTTCATCGGGCACCACGGGAGCACCGAAGGGTATTTTGTGCTCACATCATGCTATGCTGCACAATGTTCCATAGTAAGTAGAAGTTAGTTGTTGGATCGTAAAAACCATCAACAATTATTAGCGGTTCGACTAGACTACTCAGGGATCCTCCCCTCGTTTATAAAGAATCTTTAAACCTCACAGGGTCTACAAAACCTTCCTACCTTTAGCTTCTATACCTATAGCTTCTATATACCTTCTATAAAAACCCATTAATTTCAGGTCGTCTATGAAGAATGCACAATCCTAAGCTAGTTTTTAAAGATGATAATCAGATCATCCATAAAGATAACCTTCAGTTTGTCTGCAAAGACTCCTCTCGACATATCTATGAAGACTCATCAGCTCGTCTATAAAGAGGATCATCTATAAAGTTTCGTCTCAGCTCTTCTAAAAATATGCCTTTCAGCTCATCTATAAATACGCGCTTTAGTTCGACATTAAAATGTTCCCAATATCTTTAATGTCTCCCAATGTTTATATTTAAAAATGCCTTCCAGTTCGCCTTTCGCTTATAAACATGGCCTTCAGCAAGCTGTAAGCACGACTTTCAGCTAGTATATAATCACGTCCAACACGGCTTTTTATAAACACGACCTTAAGCTTGTATACAATCACGGCCATCAGCTGATTTAAAAACACGGCCATTTATAAACACGCTCTTTAGTTCGTCTACAAACACGGCTTTCATCACGTCCTTCTTTTGATCTATAATCACGGCCTTCTGTTAGTGTATAATCACTTTGGTCTGTAATCACGACCTTCAGCTGGAATACAATCAAGACCATCAAGTGATTCAAAAACTCGCCCTTTAGATCGCCTATAATATCGTTATGCAGATGATATGTAGTCACGGCCTTCAACTAGTCTATAAAACCGACCTTCGGTTGATTTATAAAATAGACCCTTTATAAACACGCCTACTGATCTATAATTACGTCATTCAATTGGTGTATAACCACTTCCTTTATTTGGTCTGTAATCAGGGCCTTCCGCTGGTATACATAAAAGCAAGCCCCCCACACATTTTTTAAATATTTTCACATTTTTTCCATTATTTCCTAATTGGCATAATTAATTTTAATTTTCTACACAATTTTTTAATTTTCCTCCTTTCTCTTCCCTTTTAGTCCCAATGCCACCATGAATTCCGTACTTATGTGCTCCAGTTCAATGTATTGGGCCACGGGTGCCATACATTTAGTCCAAGGCCTACTGTACTCAGCCCAGCGCATCATACCCGATCAACCCTATAGCGACGAATATTTCCTCAGAACCATCGAACGTTATAAGGTTACACATTGCTTCGCTACCGCCTCACAAATAATCGGTTGGGTTACGAATATCAACCACGATGACATACGCAAATATCTTCGTTCCATTGACACCCTAATGACGGGTGGCTCACCAGTTCCCAAACCAGTTCAAGAACAAATTACCGATATTCTTTCGGATAATAAAAAACGTCCTGGCTATGTTATGATCTATGGGTCATCGGAAATATTCATTGGTTGCAGCATCAATGGCGGTTATCCTTATGAATCGAAAACCGATACGGTGGGTAAGCTGTGGCACAATCGCGAAGTGTGTATTGTCGGCGAGAATGGAGTGCGCGTTGGACCAAATGAAAAGGGTGAAATTTATGTACACACTCCCTACACATGGATGGGTTATTACAAAAATGAAAAAGCCACATCGGAGGCCAAGGAGGATAAATGGATAAAAACCGGTGATTTGGGTTACTTCGATGAGGAAGGTTTCCTACATTTGATTGGACGTGCCAAGGAAATTATCAAATGGCTTAGTTTCCAAATTAGTCCTCAGTCCGTTGAGGAGATTCTACAACGTCTACCCGGTATTGCAGAGGTTTGTGTCTTTGGTGTACCCGACATCGCCAGTATCAATTTGGTAGCATGTGCCATTGTCCGATCTCAAGATGTGGAAGGTGATCAATTAACCGCGGCGATGGTAAATGATTATCTTATGTCCAAAATGGATGGTTTATATGTGTTGAGAGGTGGCATTTATTTTATGGACTCATTGCCACGTACCGATACCGGCAAGGTGCAACGTTTGAGAATGGTCCAATATATTGAAGAAGAAATTGATAGATAAATGGTATTTGAAATAGTTGATTTTATGAAAGAGAGTACAAGTAGCGTATATAAGTTAATATGTATGTATATAAGTTTAAGTATTTTAAGTCTATATAGCTAACTATAAACCTGAATAAAATTTAGTATTTTTTCTTTTCTCGAGATAAGATAAAATAATGTGTTTGCATGGCATTGCTCTAAGAGGTCTTATGGAGCTGGAAGATATTTATTTGGCTTTCTATACGTAGAAGCTCCCTTTGGAGGTCTGTTGGATGTAGAAGAAATCTATATCTACATATTATTTACACTAAATCCAGAAATCGTATATATAAAGACTCCCATCAGATTGCCTTTAGAGAACCCACAACTCATCTTGAAGTAGAAAGAAAAGAAAATTTTGTTTTTACTTTCTCGAGATAATTTGACGGGTGTTCTCGATATCTTCTTTTACAATTTTAGGATTTTTTTGTCAAAAGAAACCCTCAAAGACCTTGTAGAAGTATGCGGAAGGCCTTTTGGGAGTTTCACTTTGACACAGAACTTCTTGAAGACTTTATCTGTCTTCCATAGAAGATCTCTATATATATTTTGTATTCCACAATATTTTCTACAAACCTATTTGAGGTCTATTTTTGTCGGAAGACAAGCCGAACTATTCCAGACCAGTTGTCAGATGCTGGTCAGGATCATGCACCAATTGATCAGTACAAATTGGGCTAGAAGAATGCATGCCCAATGATTGCAACCTCAGCATTATGTTTTCCGTGCACAAAAATGACACAAGACTAATATGTAAAAACCCAGGTTTATCTTGGTCCCTTTTTTATCTCAATTGTGGACACTTATTTCCTCGATATATGACAACTATAGATCAGTTAATCTCCTTCCCATCGCATATAAAGTGCTATCCAGCGTACTGTGTGAATGACTGAAGCTAATGGTCAATGATATTATTGTATCATACGAATGCGGCTTCAAACCTAGCAAATCCACCATAGACCAGATTTTTGCACTGCACCAAATCCAGGAAAAGACTCACGAAAAGTACATCGACACATTTCACCTATTCGACGACTATAAAGCCGTATTCGACAGTGAGAACAGCCACCGTTAAACGAATTGAGAAGGAGTCTGCCAAAGTGGGACTGGCAGTAAATGACGAGAAGACCAAGCTGATTGTGGCAACGTGCAAGACGTTCAGTAGGCACGGACCAACTGTGGAACTTGAGAACTACAGCTTCGAAGTAGTCAAAGATTTTATTTACTTCGGTAACTCCATAAATAAAACTAATAACATCAGTTTTGAAATTCAGAGATAGTGTTGGCCAACAGATGCTACTATGATCTAAGTAAGCACTTAAGAAACAAGGCCATCACCCGTCAGACCAAACTCACACTCTACAAGACACTGATACCATTCGTGCTGGAGTATGGGTCTGGAGCATGAATACTGGCGCAAGCAGATGTGGCTACTCTTTGAGTGTTTGAGTTAAAAATTCTCCGAAAGGTTTATGGGCTGATTTGCGTCGACGATGAATATCGCCGTCGAATGAACTATGAGTTGTACCATCTATTCTCGGACATCGACATAGTCGGAGGTAGCGAGCTGCAGCAACTACGATGGCTAGATTATATTAAGAGAATGCATGAGGATGCCCCAGCTCAAAAATGCATATAAAAGCGAACCAACTAATGGTTCACGCAGAAAGGGAAGGCCACGAATTCGATGGAAAGATCAAGTGAAAGGCAACATCTCGGAACATGGTCTTTCAAGTCTGTTTAATGGAAATCTTTTTAATCTCGGCTTACGGAACAAATGTTCAGTCTCAAGCCACCTATGTAAGTATTCTATGTCCGCGTTAGAAATCGGCTATGATAAGAAAAACTTTTTGGGTCTTCGATAGACAAAATACCTTTCTGAGTTTTTTTCTACATAGAAAATCTTCGATAGACAGAAGATCTATTAAAGACCTCTTGGACATTTTCTTTAGACACAGGGTCTTTGATTATGTTCTATAGGCTATCGTACTAGGCTAAAAATCACCTAGCATGTTTAGCATTGAAAATGCGATCGTCATATAATACCAACATTTTTTAATGTTGGACCAAGTTTACGTATACCATTTATATAACATTACCACCATTTTGAGTTCCTACCAAAAATTATTAATATAGACCGATCCTTTAGTATTTCCCCCATATAAATGTCCAGAATTGGTAATTTGGCTTTATAGGTATATTAGCAGCAGATATTTAAGAACAGTAGTGTCAGTCGTTCCAAGTGCTCCTAGGAGATCTGTGGCGAATTTAATTTAATTATACCCTACACAACTATGTTGTCAGGGTATTATAGCTTTGTGCAGCCCCAAAAGTTTGTAACGCCGCGAAATATTGGTCCTAGACATGTGTGTCCGTCCGTCCGTCCGTCTGTCCGTTATAATTTGTAAACACGATACAGGCCACAGTTATGGACCAATCTTCACGAAATTTTGCATGTAGGATGGGTTCTGGCCAATGAAGACCCCCTATTTTTGATAAAGATCGGTTAATATTTAGGGGATGAAATGGACCAAATACTAAATTTTTGTCGGTTTTTCTGGTCGCTCCAGGGGCCGCAGTTATGGTCCGAACATCGTGGTACATGGAGAAGGGGATCGGGGCTAAGAATAAGCATGCCTGTTTTGATAAAGATCGGTCAATATTTAGCGGGTCAAATGGACCCTGACTTTTGTGTGAAAAATTACAAAATTTTTATTCTGGGACGTACATACTTGCTCCTAAAGGACATATACTCAAGATGTTGACAGTATGTCCAAGATGAGTTGTTGGCCTTCAAATTGATACCAATTGTATGACTGTATGTACTCCGATGCGGAAGTTATACGTAATTAAGTAAAGGTGACTATGTCCATATTATTACTATTACTCCCTTAGAGGACGAAAATGTCGCGCTGATCGCTTTGAAATTGTACATGAAGTTCCGATTATGGTCAAGGACGACGGTTATAGGTTTCGGTGAAGTTGAGATTTCATTCAGGTGGTGCTATGAACCCAAAACTTTAATTTTGTCAGATTTTCTAGTCGCTTTAGAGGCAATTATTATATACAGAACGTCATATATTTTACAAGGTGAAGGGGATCTGACCAAATACTTAGAGTGGCTGTTTAGATGATGATCGGTAAATTTTCCATATCAAAAATTGGTTGGTCTTTGAGTACCTTGCATATATAGAATATCATTCAAATGTGTTATATGTAAGGTATCATGACTATGTCGATGTCCTGTAATGGTTTCTATTGATAGACAAAATTTTTATTGTGACATTTAGAAGGTCCTCAGTGTACCCTGAACCTGATACCGATTGTCTTCTTTACTGCTACCATTTCTCTCGGCGTCTATAAATCAATGCAATTTCCTTCTATCATAAATTGAAAACTGTCACCGAATTATGCTGACAGTTTTCAATCTTAAAAAAAAAATCCGTACCCACAAATGCCAAGAAAAATGTCTTTCATAACTATCAATCTATTGAGTGAATTAATTGAAAAATAACCACATTATCATTTTTACTGCTGCTAAAAAAAAAACAAAAAAATAAAAACTTTAAAAAATGCAAGACATTTAAAGTGGTTTTGGAGACTTGAAAAACTGTGCCACAGACATGTCTTCTCCTTCATCGTGGTCGCTTCGTTAACATAGACCAAAGTTGAACTTGAAGCAAGACAATTGATAGACAAGCTCCTCCATCCTCAATGATATCGTTCAAGAATGAGGATCTTTGAAGATCTTCTGCTGATGCTGTAGTGGATGCCATTAACGTTTTGTCAATATTTGCCGTTGTCTATTTGAGAGCTATGTCAGTATCATCATCACGTTGTAGCCGTCAGTACGTTTTGCTTGTCACTTTGTCACGTACACACACACACACACATTATCGACAACACACGATAGGCAAACCATCAACTGCAACTACAGGAGCTTTGTGCAAATGCTCTTTATGTGCTACAGCATCCCAGTTTACAGTGCTGTGTTGCACGAAGTGACTAGTTGACTGGCTGACTGACGGACATGCATGCCTCTTGTCATTGTTTGTGCAAAAAATTCAATGTTGCTTTTAATTTACATTTTACATTTTTTACAGAGCATTTTGTTACATACACATTAGAGTGTATTATATTGACAATATTGGCACAGCGTATGGAAGAAAGACAGATAGGAGGGAAGGATATTTTTTGGGAAAATTCGACAGAAATTTCGTGTTTAAAGGACCGTGAATTCTGAGTTCTATATTACAATTTGTTTGCCCTATGTCTTCGGAGAATTTCGAAAAACGAAAAAGAGAAGAAGAATAATTAGTCAATACGAGCTTTTTTACCAACCAAAACGTGGCCGAAGTACACACCAATGCCGCCCAATTTTTGATATTTTGACATTTTCCAACAGTACCAGCTGTACTGTGGCATTGAGGGTTCTTCCAGGGTGAAAAAACATATTTACTGTCCTACCCCTGAATCTGTAATTTGGGATTTTGGGTTTGTCGAGTGAGTGGCAAAACACATTTGGGGTCCGCCCCATTTTCGGCATATCATGGTCTCAGACTGATTGTAGCTTGTAATTTCGGTTTATAAGTGGATAAAAAAAACTGAGACTTAAAAAAATATTCATTAAAAACTTCAAACCTTATATGATCCTGTAACAAATATTTATTAAAAAGTTCAAGCCTTATATGAGCCTGGAAAAAATATTTATTAAACAGTTCAAACGCTATATGAGCCTGAAAAAATATATATTTATTTAAATCCACGCTTTCAATAAGTTTTGAAAAAATATATATTTATTTAAATCCACGCTTTCAATAAGTTTTGAAAAAATATATATTTATTTAAATCCACGCCTTACTTACTTACATAGCTGGCTTGTTACAGAACGGTTATTCCATAAGCCGAGCTTAAAAAGGATTTCCAAGCGTGTCAGTCTTGTGCGCATCTCCACCACGTTCCAAAATGTTGTTTTCTACT